TTTCCTGTTTTATCGTTCCTTTCGATGTAGAAAACAGTTACGTCTCATACATGGCTAATGTGGCGGAAAAGTCTAGCGTGTGCAACAATTTAAAATCCCAAAAGTTCATTTTTCAGCTAGTTTAAAAAACATCATCAGTTAACACGCAAACATGCACGCACGCACGCACGCACGCACACACACACACACACGCACACACACACACACACACACACACACACACACACATCCACACGAACACACATCCACACAAACACATACACACACAGTCACGCACCCACGCACGCACGGAGGTAGACATTACATCCCACACATAGACAGGTTGACTCCCACAAGTCGTTGGGAATCAAACCATGACGGCGACCAGGGACTTTTAGAAACAGTCTACACATGCATCTTACACGACGGACGGATATTACAACGTGTATGTAGATCCTGTACCTACTCCATGCACATACATCATACACATAGATCATACACGTATAGACCATACACATAGACTTTACATAAAAAAGCATACATGTACCTTCTATCGGATGATAGCAGAGATATGACACTAGGCGTGACAGCGAGAATGACAGCAGGGGTGACAATAAGAATGACACTAGGCGTGACAGCAAGAATGACAGCAAAGATGACAGCAGGAGAGACACTAGACCTGACAGCAGGGATGACAGCGGGGATGACAACGGGGATGACACTAGGCGTGACAGCGGGGATGACACTAGGCGTGACAGCAGGGATGACAGCAGGGATGACACGAGGCGTGACAGCAGGAATCACAGCAGGGGTGACAGCAGGAATGATAGAGCAGGCACGACAGCAGGGATGACAGCAGAAATGACACTATAGTACAGCGGGTAAGCTAACCTATTGTGCGTTTTTTTATAAAAGCTCCAATTTTGGCACAGAGGTAGACCAATATATTGTGAACAAATTTGGATGTGGAGCTATCGCCCAACTGCCCCCTGGTGGCCGTGGCGGTCATTTTCCAAAATGCCCGCCAGCAGACACCCAAAAAACACACAGAAGTTGGATAAAGTTTGCTGCTGAAGGTTCAGTGAATGTTTATTGAATGTTTTGAATCAAGACATGCCAGATATCTCTTAGTCACATTTTGGAAGATGCTGATGATATTAATTAACATATTTAGGCTAATTGCAAATGAAATGGCGACAAGGAAACCCATGATCAGGCATCAAATGCTGACATTCCTTGTGAATAGGCTAGATTCATTTAAGTTGTGGAAATGTTATCTGACCTTCTTCCTCTGTCTGTCAATAGCTATTCATGGATACTGCCCACGCCAATTAAGATGCCAATTAACAAAATTATTAACACAATTAGGCTAATTACATCGATAATACAACAACAATAACAGAACCAGATAGTGATAATTATGGTGGCTTGCTCCCATCAGATCAATCCTGGACAAGTCAAATGTTATACTTCTGTGGTCAAGGGACACTACTACATTTAATTATCATGTTAATTAACACATAATCTGCTAAATGCAATATGCAGATAAGTTCACTGTTTTACAGTACCTGTGTACTGTCTGGAACAGTTCAGAATCTTCATCTTAAGTTTGCGAGTTCAGTTCTGAGAGCACTCCCCGTCGCAAGCACACAGTGGTGTGCATTCCAGACTGGCCTTCTTCACTCACACCTCTTGATGCAGCCCTTCTGGCATTTGCAGGAGATAAGCTCCCGGCAGACCTTGGATGCCTCGGGAAGCGTTGTCCAAAGAGGTTCGTACATGTTGCTGGTCTTGATCCAACCCCAGTCGATTGGTGATGGCAATGTTGGTGCAGGAACCAGGGCCTGACCCCAGACATGTCCGCCTTGGTATATTGCTCGTCGGACGTGCTGCCTCAGGGCTGCCCTTTCGGTGGGATCAGCTGGACATTGCTCTTTTTTGCAAACAGTTTGCGGCGTGCCTTGTCGATATCGGTTGCGGTGCTTGTTCTGTCGTAAAGCAGGATGACGAACCTCTCGATTGTGTGCATGGCATCTTCATCAATATGATCTGGTGCAGTGGAGAGGTCAGTGAGTGTCTGGGTCAGCTGAGGTAGAGCTGTCCACACTGCCCATGCTGTCCTCTTGCCATGTCCGGCGAAGCAGGAGACCGTGTCGCAGCCCGTCAAAGCATAAAACACCAGTAGTGCCTGTGCTTTCTCAGGGCCCAGAGCCCGTGCTATCTCATAGGCTGCCAAAAACCGAAAAGCCTTGCCCGTGCCGAAGGACTTTATCTAACTTCATCTAACTTCTGTGTCTTTTGGGTGTCTGCTGGCGGCCATTTTGGAAAATGGCCGCCACGGCCGCCAGGTGGCAGTTGGGCGATGGCTCCACATTAAAATTTGTTCATAATATATTGGTCTACCTCTTTGCCAAAATTGGTGCTTTTGTTAAAAAATGCACAATAGGTTTAAATATCCTATGTAAACCGCCCTACTACTAGGCGTGACAGGAAGCGTGATAGCAGGAATAATAGCAAGGATGACAGCGGGGGTGACAGCAGGAATGACAGCGGGAGTGACAGCAGAGATGACACGCCGGACGATGGATTTAGTTAACCTTGTAATAATAGTTCAGTCGTGCAGCATCACTGTGTCTGGGCTCATAACATCGCCACGTCACAGCTATTATAAACAATATACGACCCCCCGCACGCTCGCTCGCTCGCTCGCACGCACGCACGCACACTCGCACTCACTCACACACGCACGATCGCACTCACTCGCACACACACGCTCGCACTCACTCACACACGCACGATCGCACTCACTAGCACATGCACGCACTCACTCACGCACGCACGCACTCGCGCACGCACGCACGCACTCGCGCACGCACGCACGCACTCGCGCACGCACGCACGCACGCTCGCACGCTCTCACTCACGCACGCACTCACGCACGCAACCACGCTAGCACTCACGCACGCTAGCACTCACGCACGCACGAACGCACGAACGCAAACGATTATCTCGGGTACCAAGAGAGAGACGCAGGTGCGTTTTACCTCCCCCCTCTTTCTCTCTCGGCCTCCCCCTCTCTCCTTATTTACTTATATAACTCGCACTCACTCTCTCGCTGTCTGTCGCGGCACCTTCAGATGCACGCGAGATGGCCATTAATTAAGAAGGCGGCGGGGCATAACTCATGAACATGCTGTAATTAACCACGTGCGTGCGGACGCAGACGCTGCTGCGTGCGCTCGTCATTGCTCGATTAGTTCGTAACGTGAGACGCAGGCGGTCGCGAGTAGCTTGTAAACACGGCTACACTATAGGTGCTTCCCGCACTGATGCGACGGCGCCCACTACACAAGCAGTGTATGTATGTAACATGACGAGGAGCGAACCACAGTGAGCAGTCTAAACTAATGAACGGAGAAAGCGACGGAGAGAGAGGGGGAGGGAGAAAAGTAAATGTGTGAGCGCGGGGGGAAGAAGGTAATAGAGCTAGCTAGCGATGGATACGTAGAGAGGGGAAGAGGGAGAGAGAGATGGATATATCGAGATAGAGAAAGAAAGTGAGAGAGAGGGGAGAGAGTAAATATAAGGGAAAGGGGAGAGAGTAATAGACCTAGCGTAAGTCGTCAGTGAGAGGGGGAGAGAGCGCGCGAGAGAGAGCGTGTAAGAGAGAGAAAGAGAGAGAGAGAGAGAGAGAGAGAGAGAGGCAGAATAGAAATAACTGAGTGACTAATAGAAATAGAAATAACTAACTAACCAACTAAGTAACTAACTAAGTAAGAAAGGCGTCTGTATGTGTAAAATTTATCCGATCTTCTTTTTTGTGCTGCTTTCCGCTCTCGTCCGTCCTTCGCTGCGTAGACGCGTATACGTGATTCATCGACGCTACCGATCCAAACATCCTCTGATTCTGTCTCTACTTATTACATTGTGTGTGTGTGTGCGTGTGCGTGCGCGTGCGCGTGTGCGTGCGTGCGTGCGCTCGTGTGTGTGTGCGCGCGCGCGCGTGTGTGTGTGTGTGCGTGTGTGCGCGCGTGCGTGCCTACATTGTGCGTGTCCGATGTATTACACCTCACACCGGTGTATATACGCTGTGTATGTGACGGCGACGTACCCGTGTATTCGCATAGACGTCTGTACCGTGCATTATAGCGACACAGCGATACAGTCGCCGCACCGCAGCCACCCACTGGCTAATCTAGATTCCGCATGGCACGTCGGGCGGGCACCCGTCCGTCGACCGATATCAAATTGAATTCCAAATCTGAAATTCGCGACAATACGTTATAGTTCGACTATTGTGTTTCGTACGGCGGTGTGCGTCTGTCACGCTGGGGCTCGGCCCGCGGGCGTGACAGCGGCGTAGCACGGGGGCAGGGAGAAGGGCAGTAGTGCGTAGTAAGGGAATAACGGGAGGGGGATAGTAAGGGAATAACGGGAGGGGGATAGTAAGGGAATAACGGGGGCATAACAGGAGGTTGCTGGGGGGGGGGATAATGGTCCGACAGAATCGACGACAGATATTAATTACACTCGCTGATGTAATCGGCGTTGATGTATTGCATGTAAAGTGCAAAAACGGTGGCTTCAACATTGCCCCACACACGCTATGGATCCGGCTCATGCATGTGTTCTCATGCCAAGCTACTGTTGCTGCTGCAACTGTTACTGCTGCTGCTACTGCTACTGCTGCTACTACTGTTACTGCTGCTGCTGCATGCTGCTGCTGTTACTGCTGCTGCTACTGCTGTTGCTGCCGCCGCTACAACTACTACTACTAGTGTTGCTGCTGTTGTTGTTGTTGCTGCTGCTGCTACTGCTGCTACTGCTAATGCCGCTGGTGCTACTGCTGATGCTGCTGATGCTGTTACTACTGCTGCTGATGTTACTGCTGTTGCTGCTGCTGCTGCTGCTGCTGCTGCTATTACTGCTCACTTAAACGTCCCATCGGGATCGACTGGCGCGAATGTAAATAAACCATGCAGCCACTGGTCTGCGGTTTTCTCCGTCGCTCCTTCTCGCCCCGCCCGCACACCTCGCGAGTCCCTCTTACCACCAGACACACACACCTGCAGATACACGCAGGTACACGCAGGTACACGGAGATACACGCACGTACACGCGGTACACGCACGTACACGCACGTACACGCACATACACGCGGGTACACGCACCTACACGCAGATACACGCCCGTACACCACGCGGGTACACGCACGTACACGCCGGTACACGCACGTGCACGCGGGTACACACACGTACACGCACGTACACGCGGGTACACGCACGTACACGCGGGTACACGCACTTAGCTGAGAAACGCCGGCCGATTGCGTTCCTAGCAACGTACGCGCTACCGCACATTCCGTCATGCCTCTGTGCGCATGTGCAGTAGGTATACGTTTGATTTGTCGATTGACGAGCCTCGGCAATTGCTCAATTGTCCATTCCATGATTCAAGACGCCTATTCGTGCCTTTGATTTGTCAATTGGCGATTCAATTTGGCAATTCGTTATTTTATTGCTCAATTGAACGTTTGAATGATTAAACGACTGTTCAATTAAACAATCAATCGATCAATTGAACGTTTAAATGATTAAAACGCACGCGCGTACGGGACACACTCTCACACTTGTATCGGTCAATAAATAATTGGTCTTGCGTCTTACGCAAACAGTTGCTTAAAATGACCAATTTCCACGGTGAACGGAATCCGCTGCGTGTATACATATCCAGGGCAATAGCTGCGGGCGTGTTTGCGTTCTCTATTGCCACCACGTCTCTCTCTCTCTCTCTCTCTCACACCTACTCGCACCTGTATGCCATTCGCAGTTTCCCATCTACCGCCTGAAAACATGTATATAGGCGCAACGCAAAGATTATTCTAGAATTATTATAAACGATCATGTTTATTGCACTAAAACAAGACGGTACACGCACTATATACCGTCCTATACGTATAACACTTATACGTATAACACTTCTACGTATATTACGTGCCTGCAATACGAAACAACTCATCTACGTTCGCATGCCAATACGCGATACTGCCACGATAACGTACGTAGTGTATACACTTCTATATAACAGGACTGTGAGCAGGACCATGGTCTCTGAGAGCACGGCAGACGACACGTTAGAATTACAACGTACAACGAAGATGATACAGAAAATGGGAATAATATCACACGCGCGCGTGTGCGTGCCTGCGTGTGCGCACGCGCGCATGCGTGTGAGTGCGCGCACGTGTCTGCGTGCGCATGTACGCGAGCGTGTCAATGTGTATGTCTGAGCAAGCGAAAATTCACAAGTTATATTATGCTATGACACCGTTGTTAGAACTACATCATGACAGACCAGCACAGATGGAAAGCAATACAGCTAACGAGAGCGCATACCTTGCTCGTTCTTAACATAGATCAAACCGCGACTTGATATGCACACATTCTATGATATCGCGCGTGAACACCACGCTGCAGATAACCACCAAAAAGCCGAAAAATCGCACGATAGATTGAATATAGATTATCGATAATAACACGATTGATCATAGAACAACGATTCGATGAGAAAGTTCGTCTGCAAAACTCGCATTAATCGTATCGGCGAAGTTCGATTATATCGATTACATTGAATTGCTATCGATGCGACGTGACCACATTCACACCTATACGGCACTCTGTAGGAGGGATCTATCTGTACAAGAGCGGGAGTCTAGCGTGGCGGCGATAGCTTCTAAAAAATCGATAATACTGCAAAGAGAAACACCGACACACCAGCGCATCTACACCTTATACGTACTGCAAACACCCGCGTCGCGCGGTGTGTGTGCGTGCGTGCGCGTGCGTGTGAGTGTGTGCGCGTGCGTGCGCGTGCGTGTGAGTGCGTGAGCGTGTGTGTGTGCGTGCTGTAGGGAAAAGGAATTATGTCAACTTACTCATCACACACGTACGCTCAGACGCACAAGCACGCACGCACTCACGCACGCACGCACACACACAGCGCTAGGGTTTGTGTAACATGATATGATGTCATATATGTGATATGATGATGCAAGTACAGGGTGTGAACGCTGGCTGTCCCTATACATAATAAACAACATCAGTACCGAGCCCACACGATAGACACTGCAACAACCACACCCACCCCCTGTCAAAAAGCAACTGTTTGCAGTGTTTGGTTTAGTTCGCTTGCTTGTATAAACGCTATCCACACGAACGCACACACGCACGCACGCACGCGCACGCACGCACGCACGCGCACGCACGCACGAGCGAAGGCGACAATAAACAATAGTGTCACTAGAAACCACTAGAGGAGATATGTAGTACAGTAACAACACTACAGAGAGGTAAACAGGGCAGTGATAGTAAAGGGCGGGTTATGCCGTGACCTAACGCAACCACATACACGCGATCACGCACACACATACGCACGCACGCACGCACACACACACGCACACACGCACGCACAGCGAAAAAAAGCACCCGCGATCAGGCCACATACTCAACACACAGGCTTTACAGTGAAAAACTCTGTAATCGTGCTAAAAGTGACGCCAACATAAACTGCGATAAACTGTATACATGAATAACATGTAACCAGCAGTAAACACTACGCAGCAGAAGAAACAGTAGCAACAGCAACAGCAGCAGCAGCAGCAGCAGAAACAGTAGCAGCAGCAGCAG